AGAAGAAATTTGCATTCAATATTAAGAAAAGGCTCATATTCATAATTCCTTTTGCAGCAGAGATCAATCTCAAACAAGTCAGAAATGCCACAACAGATGCAATTGAAAATGTGCAGAATAAAAATTTGGCAAAAGATTTAGCATCCTGCATGAGAGTGATGTTTAAAAAATCCAGGACTGTTGGCGAGATCTTGCACAATCACAGGCAGGTGATGACAAAACTACCTGACTGTGAATGTGCTACCTCCTGACTACCAAAGATAAATGATCATGTTGCGTGCAGATTAAGTGAAATTACCAAAAACCAGTTAATATGGAATGCAAAAAACGTACCGCATGTTAATGCAAGAGTAGGGAAATAAGAGGTACGAAGGACAATCCTGCTCACAATAGCAAGTATACCATGAGGCATGCGAAAGACAAGAGAAATAAGAATTGATGTCTCGAGGTGTATAAACAAAAGAAAAAGAAAACGAAGGAAATTATCTGGATATATCGGAAGTCTGGAAAGTCAAAAAGGAATTGGGACAATTGATCCTATCGCCACTGGATAGGAATCCTGGAGAAACGCTCGTTGAATGTCCAAAAGCCTGGTATGACAAGACGAATCAATTTTTCCTAGAATCCGAATACCATGAAATCGTTCAGCAGACAGAATCCAAAATTCTCCTACTGGCAAAGAAGACTTGTTAAGGATGTGGACTGGGAAAAATTGCCGAATGGGATGAGAAAGGAACATATGGAAATGCTTATACAATTCCAAAGAACAAAGATGTAACTAGACGAAGGCCAATTGTACCAACATATAACGAACCTTCATGAAAAGCATCGAAAATCCTGTCGAGAGCGATAAACTTTGTGTAAAATATGGAAAGTCGGCTTCTCATTGCAAGGAACGAATCAGCTTGTTCCGAAATTTAAGAGAATGTAACAAAACAGCAGAAGAAATGTATGGACGGAACGCGGGAAACGGAAAACACACTTGTGCTATAAACAAAGAGGAAAATACATCAATGTCGGCAAAGCAAATAGAACATACGGATGGAGAACGATTCAAATTGACAGTCTGATGGATCTACTATATTATGACATTAAACATGCCTACTTCAAAGTACATGAAACACTGCTTCGACAAATCAAGGGCATACCTATGGGAAAGGGCTCCAGCCCACCTATAGCAAACATGGTATGCGCATTGTATGAACACAGATGGTGTTCTGAAATTGGACTCGACAGGAGGCTCATTCACGGAATGCGATCTGTAAACAACGTAATGATCATAATAATAGCAGATAAAGAAGATCAAGAAAAAGAACTGAGATGCATGGAATCGTTCAAAACATGGTATCACCATTCACTGACGCTAGAATCAACATCGGGCAAGGAAAGTACGAAATGGACTTATCTCGAAACAACGATATCAAGGATAGATCACGAACCCCTCCTGAAGTGTACACATAAACTGAAGAACGAAGCGACACTCCAGGAGGGGTTGTTGAGCTCTCTCTCTCTCTCTCAAGACATTGTGTCACTTCAGGAGTGTGGGTTCCGAGAAAACAAAGATACTGATGATAATTGGCACGTTTGACAGAATGGTAGCGAACACCTATGATGTCGTAGACCTGACCACGGTAATGAAGCTGTTTTGTAGGGAACTCCGACACATGGACTACCCATTGAGGATAACCCGCACAGCGATTTTGGCATTTATTAGAAATTGGAAAGACACTGAAGTCCGGAGCAAATTTCGAGAGTGCTTGGAAGCAGAAGAAACACCAATCCAAAAATGATATAAAATCAGAGAAAGAAAAACAATAAAAGATAAAAGTAACAAAGAAAAAAAAAGGAAACATGGAAACCTAAAATTACATAAAAAAGATCAGCGATATGTAGATATAATGACGCAAAAATGGCCGTATTGATTTCCCAACATATGCAGTGAAATGAATCGTACCGAGAGCCAGAGTAAGCATATAACAGACAGGCGACAGGAAGATGAAAGTACTCACCTGAAAAATAATGATGAAACCCATGACCACGCGAAAGACAAAGAAACATACAAAGCCAGAAGAAAGCCAAAAAGACAAGTCAGATATAAACACAAAAAGTTTCAACATTATTTGTCAACAGAAATACGGCCGAAAGTAAAAAAAACTGAATGAGTACGGATTTCCGGCAGAAAGAGGAATAGAAACAGGAATAGACAGTACCATAGGAGCATACGCAGGAGGAAGATGTTATATGCAGCAAATCGACGACCACGAGAAACCAACGACGACAAGGACGTTACAGAGTGTGACTATGGAGAAATCAGAGGCAACGATGATGAGGACACTGCAGGGATTGAGGACAAGGAGGTGGGAAGGATAATGATGATAGGGTATAAATTCAGGGACGGTGGCCGAAAGGATTACCTGAGCAGTGAGGTAGAAGGGTAATCGCGACTGTTGTCGCATGCCATGGACAGGACATGCATACTGTGAAAGTAAAACCTCGCACGTGTTGTCTATTGTTGCAAGTCTCTCTCTCTCTCTCTCTCTCTCTCTCTCTCTCTCTCTCTCTCTCTCTCTNCTCTCTCTCTCTCTCTCTCTCTCTCTCTCTCTCTCTCTCTCCCCCCTTCCCATTCCACCACTCGCTGTTCCTGTAGGCCCTGTGCTCTTTATCCTCGGTGCCGCTGTTAGCCCCCTTTGCCTTTGCCGTTTGATTCCTTTCCATGTACGATCTAGCAGTGCTGCTTTTACTATTTCAGATTTTTTAGTTGACGTAGTACTAGGTACTAATTGCCTCTTTTACTGCTGCGGTAATTGAATCGCCTAAATTAAGCATAATTTGCAGTTACTTCTGTTCAGTATATGTACACATCAGTTTTGCTGCTCCAGTATTGGGCCTCGCTCCACTACTGCACAAACGACAAAAATCAGGGTGGTGTATCTTTCCATGTTGTAGCGGAAGATTCACTTGTGTTGCACATTTCGAGAGTCCTGGAGTGAGGCTTATTGTCAGCTACATTCAGAAATTTATGAATTTCGTGCCAGTGTCTTGTTGCTGGTCCTGGTCCGACATCGTGTGGGCAACGTAGGTAGCAAATCAAACCTGCCTGCCATACCAGCGGCTGGTCCTGGTACAGGTTTCCCACGTGCCCGTGTAGTGTTGCGCTGAACTGTTGTCCTCAAGCCACGCAGTGCCCGTCCTGGTCCAACATGCTGGGCTCCTGGTCCAACCTTGTGGGTTCTGGTCCAACCTTGTGGGTTCTGTAGGCGGCCAGCTAATAAAACTTGGTGTACCAGGAGTGTTAGTCCTGGTCCATGTGGTCCACATGCCAGTGTAGTGCTGGTCCTGGTCGAACCTTGTGGGTTCTGTAGGCAGCCAGCTAGTAAAACTTGGCATACCAGGAGTGCTAGTCGTGGTCCATGTGGTACACATGTCAGTGTAGTGCTGGTCCTGGTCCAACCTGGTGTGCCAGGCGGCTGGTGTCTGTTCTGTCGTCGGTCGTGGTCCACACATGGTGTGTGCGCCGTAGGCAGCTAATCAAACCCAAAATTCAATGAACCGGAGCACTTGGTCTCATCTAGGCCTATTATAATGTCCTTTCTTTTTTTGGTTTCTTAAACTTTATTTCTTTCTCTTCTTTCCTTTTTTTTTTGTTGAAAGGGCAACAGCCTTGAGGTATGATCATCCAGCTGACTGACCCCAGGTAATTCAGAATTATTTTTATTCTGTCCATCTGATTGAATCTGGATTCGAACATGGGTCTATTCAAACACTTCATGGGTGTACCAACCGAGCCAGGCGCGCTGGTTTTATTTCTTTTCTAAATACATAAGAAGTCCAAAGGCAGGCAATAAAAAAAAGAAAAAAAGAAAAAAAGAAAAAAAGAAAAAAAGAAAAAAAGAAAAAAAGAAAAGAAGAAGAAGAAGTCCAAAGGCACCAACTGGCCTAGTAGCTCAGTTGGTAAAACACCCATGAACTGAACTGAACTGTTGAAATACAGACCTGAGTTTGAACGCCGCCGAATGGAGTTGGGTAAAATAGTATTTTTTGTTTTTTAAATACTACAATTCAATTTTATTAAAAAAAAGAAAAAAAAGGGGGACAGAGACTTCTTAGAAAAAAGAAATAGAAAGAAGGCCAAAGGTAATGAATGGCTTTACCTTTCTGTTATTGTGGATAGAGTGGAGCCACCACCCTCCTCCTTCCTTGCGTAGTGAGGCAGCCAAGTTGAAGCCATGGTCTCTTTTTCTTTTAATCAAGTTTCAAAACTCTTTTTGGTGATAGGGCATGGCCGATTTGCACATGGGGCATTATTCTGTCATTTCTCTTTTGTAATGGGTCATGCCCCATTCCCATTTGCACAAAAGGGGTGCTGCAGGTAGGGCAGTGGAAATTGGGCATGGCCCAAAGAAGCAAACAGGTAAAATATTTTAACTTGGAAAGAAGAGGACATGACAACGAGGTGGGGCGGAGCGGGGGGCGTGGGCGTGGGTGGGAAGGAGAAAAGCATAAAAGTTCTCTGGGCATCATAATCAGGAAAGCCAAAAAAGAACAGAACTTTGTAGTGTGAAAGGTTGAAGCTGCGGATTGAAGGTACATTTCTGTCTGTATTGTGCGGATGTTTCTGGTCAGGAACAGAGGCCATCCTAATAAGTGGGGAGGAGAAGAGCATAACAGTTTTTTGGGAAGTTCTCTGTTCATCACCATCATCATCAGGAAAGCAGAAAAAGAACAGAACTTCATAATGTGAAAGGTTGAAGCTGCGGATTGAAGGTGCATTTCTGTCTGTATTGTGCAGTTGTTTCTGGCCAGGAACAGAGACCATCCTAGTAATCTTTTGCAACAGTGGATGCTAAAAGATCGAATCTGTCTGCCTATGTGTGTGCCTCTCCACTGTTGTTTGTGTCTGTCTCTTTTGCCAGACCGCCAGAGAGACAGAGTCCCCTTCTGTTTGCCTATAGCTGATTTACGCGATTGGCAATTTAATTCATACGATCGCTGACTTCCGGGTGGTGTGTGCTATATTGGGTGGTGTGAGGTCTCACCTGCGCTGGTGGCACTCTGGGAAATTGACTTCATACGTTGTATCAGCCGGCAGGTACCTGTGACTGTGACTGTGGTGCCGACCAACATATTGTGTTGCACAGCGTACCTGCTGCGGGTGGCTGTGGCTGAACTGTGCGACACCCACTTATATATGTGGCTGGGGGGAAAAAAAAAAGCAGTGCAGAAGAGAGCAGTCCACCGAGAGGTGCGCACACTTTTGCGTCTCGGATACCCTTTATGCTTCTCATCATATGTTTGCATGTATTCTGTACTCAAATTGCTTAAGCCTGCCAAAAAGAAAGTGAGTTGGCTACCGTCTTCACCCGAATAGAACGCCCGGTCATTATAGCTGCATTTGGCACAACTTTCGGTCCAGATGCAGTGATAATGACCGGGCGTTCTATTCGGGTGAAGACGGTAGTCTGAGCAAATGTTGTCACCACAGAGCTGGGCGGGTTGTTTGTGTGGAGTGAAGGTGAGGAGGTGTGGTTGGGGTGTGTGAACGACGTCCACTTTTGTCCAGGTGGGTGCAAGTGCTTGTCATCATTTGCCAACATTTCGTAGTAATGAATTGATAATAATAAGGGGCTCGTGGGAGGCTACCATCTGCCCGTCCTTCAAAAGAGTGGGTCGGCTACTGGTAGTCTGAGCACATGTTGTGACCACACAGCTGGGATAATTGTCTGTATTGCGGGGGCGTGAGGGGTGAATTTGCGGAGGTGAATTTGCGGTTGGCGTTTGTGCGACATCCACTTGTTTGTGGGCTTAAGGACTTACCATCGTTTGAAGACATTGTGTAACTATTGGTAAGAGTTCCATCACCGTTTGGAGACTGCCACCTGCTAAACCTGCAAACGGAGTCGTCTACCGTCTTCTCCCGAACACAATGCGCCCTGATTATGGCTGTACTGGCCGGAAATATATCTTGTATACGTTCGTTTTCAGGGTGCGTTATGTTCGGGGGGAAGACGGTAGTCCCATTTGATGCTGTGACCACACAGCTGGGCTGGTTGTGTG